CTAAATAAACTTGGGCATTAGATTTTCAGCCCAGCTAGGCCAGGTGGTTAAAATTTAATATTATGTGCTCAAGCCCCAGGGTGCCATTCCCTAGGCAATACCTCTACTTTTGGAAGAGGCTATGCTCATTACCTGATACCTGAGGCCCTCTCAAAAGCGGAAATGCTGAAAGGGCTTGAGCAATTTTTTGTCCTAGTTCATGTATTCAGGGGCTCCCATCCCACTCAACCTTGTGTCACATTTCACTTGAGTGGGTATGTGGATAATTACCTATATTCAACCCAGTGAAATATTCAGCTTGTATGTCGGTTCTTGTATCGTGTTATCATAATATATAAATACTACTATTCAGAATTTAGAAAGAAAAACAACTAATACCATATTTTCTTTCTTTAAAATTTAAAGGCTCTGGAATTGAGAATAGCTCAAAGTATGGTTGAAATCACACATTTGAAAAGATGACAAAATTCACACACATTTAAACAATATTTACATTCATTCCATCCAGAAATTCAAACTCTTATACAAAAACAATAACAAAAAACAAAAATTCTTTGTCTATGGTATTTAACAAAACATGCAGATTGTTGCCTAAATACATCTGAAGAGGTGCTGAAAACTTATCAGCCTCACTAAGAAACCCTTCCAAAAAAGAAAAAAAATCTTTTTTATCACTTTCCATCACATATAAATTACTTAGATTAGTTTAGCAGAAAAACCCAAACATGAGGTACCTAGTGAGGATCAAAATCATTACTCAATAATAGTCATCAGGCCGCCTTGCTATCCATTACACCATTATGAAGGTCTCGACAAAACCACACATATGTTGATGGTATAGAAATAGAGGTTAAATCTTCCCAAACACATTTTCACCTTGTTACTGATCACAGATGTGTGGCAGTCTGGAAAAATAACATCTGATATCAAAGGGCTTACAAAGTAGATATGTGACATTTAATTTTTCCATGCAAAACATTTGACCTATTTGACACTGATATTTGTTGAACATTTATGGGAACCAAGCAGTGCCTGAGATGCACCATGATGTAGTGGGTAATGCACTTCAGCAATGGTGACTGCCCTGCACAGGTTCTTGTTCATCACTGGAAAAAAGGCATATTGGAAATTGACTGTGAAAAAATAGCATTTTGCAGCTGAAAACTTTGCTCTCTTCAATATTTCCTTTGCCTGCCTTGAAAATCAGCATTCAAATTCCTGTCTTTTATCTGAGTTCAAATACAAACCTCTAGCATCAGGAATATGTAATATACAAATAGTGAATATACAGGAATAAGTATGATATAACCATCTTAGCTACTAAGCAGGCCTTATATTCACTCATTCAGAAAGGCAAAGAAAATAATATTAAATAATACATATTAGAGAATGAAATAACTAAATTTACAACTGCAGACAAATATTAAATCCATTTTAAAATTGTACAATTATCAAATAAACATATTGTTGTTCAGATGGTCTTTTTGATGTTGCTTTTGTTGTTACTATAACATTTCAACCAATCTATTATCCAGCTTTCATCAGGTGTTTTAATTCATATGAAAAGAATTTAAGTATTTTTGTCCAGTACAGTAAACGAGAACATTATGATGACCAAAATAAAAAATGAAACACATGATGGCAGATGATTGGACAAAGTATAGGTGTGGCAAAAAAATCATATCTAAAGATGAAATAGAAATCTCTGGTATTGTAGATCATATCTTGAGGGTGGAGTTTTTCTCACAATCAATTCAAATAATAGCTCAAAAGCATTTCTAGACAAAATTGTCAAAGACAAGTTAGAACAGATTTCTTTATTTAGCAAGGAATGGTTTGAAGAGCAAGCCCATATATCAGTTATGGGATTGCCTGGATTACACAAACAGTGCTTTGAGGTTTCACATAACAGGTCAGTCTGATCAGTTATGTTTGTCACATAAAGGTGATTTTGATTTTTGGAAATAAGTATTATTATATTAAAGATATCCAATGATGTAAGTATAGTATAATGGCTGTGGGTTTCAGAAAGTAGAATCAATAAGCAGAGTTCCATTTCTGATGGAGTTCATTTGCACACATACACACACATGCACTCACACACACATGCACAACTCAAAAAGAAGAATCTCAAGAAAGGTTTGAATCCATTTCTTCTCACTACTACTACTATGGGTTTAATAACAAGGTAGCCTGGGCTCTCTAGCTTCAAGGGTAGCAGTTACATTTGGAGAAGGACACCTCCAAATTCAAAATTGTTCAGAAGTCAATGGGAAGCCACTCTAGTATCTTTCCCAAGAAATCATGACAATTGACAGATAATAAAGAAAAGGAATCTGTGGAGAGCCATGATCATCTACAACCTGAAGAGATGTAGCATTAAAATAAAAACATCAAATATTTAAATAAAAAAGCACATACTGGAAAGTTAGAATAACGACAAAGAAAGATAGAGAAGAGTGAGTATAGAAATCAAAAGAAATAAAATCAGGAAGAAAGAAGCAGAGAAAAGAGTGATGAAAAGAAGAATTTGGCAATAAAGTGTACACGATATGAATCAGAGAGAAAAAGAGAAAGATTAGGAAGAGGAGAAGTAGGAAGAAATGGAAAAGAAAAGAAATTTCAATTCCAAACGGATTCTTGTTGCCCTATCATATGACTAATTGCCAATTAGCTGACTTGTAAACATTGATACACATCAGGTCCACTATCTGCCAGTTAACAGTGACACACTTATACATAGAAACAGACATACAAATTTATCTCAGCACTTTGGCATGCATAGATACAGACACACACTGTGTACACAGATATACATGAGCAGGTACATGTAAACTGAGGAGGTAGACTGATATTCCTGAAAATGTACCAGACATACAATCATTAGAAAACATTGGAAACTTTTAACACCAACCCATGTCTATGGACACAAGAGAATACAAATTTGAGTATACAGACAGATCTATGAGCCATAGAGTGCTGATATTTTTTTTCAAAGAGATATATAAGATGAGTATATTTGTTTTGTGTGTGTGTGTGTGTGTGTATATAGAATGTATAATAGTATCCGAAACAAAAGTGAAGATGATGAGACAAAATGGAAAATTTATTAATGACACATTTCACCGAGAGTGTATGCTCTGTGACCTGAGGAAGTGAAAGAGATCATACACTCTCAGTAAAACATGTTCTTAATAAATTTTCCACTCATCATATATATATATATATATATATATATATACATACACACTTTTTATATACCAGAACAATGTCAGGAATATCAATGACAATGTGGAAAAAACTTGAAACTCCATTACCTGTAATAATTGCCACAACAAATACATAGGAGAAACCCCAAGGAATTTAAATAAAAGATTATATGAACACAAAATGGATCTTTTTCCAAACAACACACTCACTGCTTTAGTTGGTCACCATAATGAGTCTGATCATAATTGATTTAAAAAATGCTACTTTAATTAAAAGCGAAAGCAATTTGCTAAGTGTATAGAGAGTGCTTTAATTGCTAGATCTTCCACAGTAAATTTGCATCCAGGTTCTTACAACATTTCACCTTTCTTAGTAGATCTTCTCTTATCACAATGTGGGAAATTTAATAACAAAAGTGATAAGGACATAAGAAAAAGAAACTAAATGAAATTGGCTAAACTATATACACAAACACATATTTTAAATTTCAGTGTCCACTAAACTATATACACAAACACATATTTTTTTAAAAGTGATTTCAGTTTTTGTCCATTACCCTGTTGGGGTGAAACTGTAATAGTTGGTTTCATTACTCTCAATAAAGATTGGTAAAAAAAAAAAAAAGAAATAGTGATAAATTATCATAATTTAAATTATTATTTAAATTCATTCTATAACAAAGAAAAAAAAAAAATCAGGGAGAAAAATTCTTTATAATAAGATAGTAAAACCGATTAACAATGTTGATATTAGACCCATATTGCAGTGCAATCCTAGAATTTAAAATTCAAAACATTGGACTTGAGCTTTAAATTAAAAAATCTAATTAACAAGTTAAATATGTCATTCACAAAATTTTAGAAAATTTTGTTCACAGAAGGTAATTTTGCATTAAATTAGCCTGTTGGGGTGAAATAGTCTAATAGAATGAATGGTTTCAGAGAATTATTAGTCTGAACAGAGAATGAATGGATAGTCTGAACAGAGAATGAATGGATAGTCAATAAAGAATGGATGAGTCTAAACAGAAAAAAAAAAAAGAAATAGTCTGAATGAAAATTATCATGAATGGATTTAAAATTATTATTTAAATTCATTCTATAACAAAGAAAAATGATGATTCAACAAGAATGAATGGATGAAATAATGGATAGTCTATGATAAACAGAGAATAATGGATAGTCTGAACAGAGCCAATGGATAGTCTAACAGAGAATGAATGGATAGTCTAAAGAATGAATGGAAAACAGATGAATGGAATCTGGCTAATGAATGGATAGTTAGACCAATTATGGATTATCATGAATGGATAGTCTGATTAATCAGTGCAATCCTAAACAGAGAAGAATGAGTCTAAACAGAAATGAAAATCTGAACAAAATGATTGGTCTGAACAGAGAATGAATGGATAGTCTAAACATTATGAATGGATAAGAATGAATGGATAGTCTAAACAGAGAATGAATGGATAGTCTGAACAAATGAATGGATAGTATAAAAAGAATTGGATAATATGCCAGAATGAATTTAAATCTGAACAGAAAAAATGGATAATTAACAGAGAATGAATGGATAGTCTGAACAGAGAATGAATGGATATCTGAACAGAGAATGTCATGAATGGATCAGAATGAATGGATAAAATTAGTCTGAACAGAGAAAAATCTAAACATAGGAATAATGACAATGGATACAGAATGGATAATTAAACAGAGAATTAAATAACAGAGAATGAATGGATAGTCTAAACAGAGAATGAATGGATAGTCTAAACAGAATGAATGGAGGAA